GTACTTCTACTGCGAGAGAGGGAGAGAGGGAGAAAGGGAGAGAGAGGGGGGGAGAGAGAGAGAGAGAGAGAGAGAGAGAGAGAAAGAGAAAGAGAGAGAGAGGGAGAGAGAGAGGGAGAAAGGGAAGGAGAGAGAGAGAGAGAGAAAGAGAGAGAGAGAGACAGAGAGAGAAAGAGAAAGAGACAGAGAGAGAAATAGAGAGAGAGAGAGAGAGAGAGAGAGAGAGAGTGAGAGAGAGAAAGAGAGAGAGAGAAAAAGAGAGAGAAAGAGAGAGAGGGAGAAAGAGAGAGAGGGGGAGAGAGAGAGAGGTTAAAAATATAACAGGGAGCCCTGGCCGGTTTGGCTCAGCAGTTAGAGCACTGGCCTGCGGTCCAGAGAGACCCGGGTTTGGTCCCGCTAAGGGCATGTACCTCGGTTGCAGTTTGTCCCCGGCCCTGGTTGGTCGTGCGGGTGGCAGCCACTCGATGTGTCTCTTTCACGTCGATGTTTCTCTCTCTCTCTCCTCCTCTCTCTCCCTCCCACTCTATCTGAGCAAAAAAAAAAAAAAAAAAAAATAACAGGGAGACAGGCTCCTAATCACTTAAGAGGTATCACCCATGTCACACCTTTTTTGAACGCACCCATCTGCCACTCATTTTATTGGTGGGCTCTAGAATTCTCAATTCTCAAACGTCAGCCTGAGTCCGAGCCCCGCAGAAGGCTTACTGGAAAATGGACGGCTGGACGCCACCCCCAGAGTTTCTCATGCAGCAGCTCTGGGGTGGGACCCGAGGATTCGTCGTTGCTTTTTTTTTTCTTGGACATATCTTTTTTAAAAAATTCAAATACCTTTCTGATCACTCATGGTCCAAGAACATTCAAATAATAAACCAAAAAGAAACAGACGTGAAAGATTGGTCTTCAAACATGACAGCCCATGATGCCACATGGCCTATGATCTCACCGACAGAAAACCACGCCCACACCTCCGTGGCCACCGAACCATTCGGCAGAGCCCCCTTCGCCGCCAGCTGTTGGACACTACCACTTGGAGCGCTGCTGATTATTTTTTTCGAGCTCTGAATAACTGCAGACACCCCAGCAGGGCTGGAGGAAGCGGCTCAACCTTGGCATAGTGCCCAAATGTCGCGGCTTTGCCCGTCGCAGCAGCATTCACCAGTGTGGGGGCCTTTTCTATGTTCGGACAAACTGGGACCTGATTCTGGGATAGAAAGTCTGTGGCCTCGAACAGCCAGCTGAATGTCACCCTTCCCCCTGTAAGGCGAGGATTTGTATTTTTCAAGTTTCTAGGTAACACCGGTGCTGACGGTCTCGGAACCACACTTTGAGAACCAGTGCTCGACAAATTGCTTTATGATCAAGACACATGTACTGAGCATGCATTGAATACAAGATCCTTCACTGGATACTGGGGGCCCCAAGAGGTACACCTCGCTTCAAGCGTTTGCAAAGCTTACGTATTTTCTTTCTTTTCCCAAGAGATACATGGCAGCAAGTGACTAGAAGAGAGTGATGCTGATGCCAGGGGAGCAGGGCTGGCGGGTCTGGGAGCGATGACTGCAGATGCTTCAAGAGCGGAGGCATCACAGGTAACATCGCAGGTAATGTCGTCTGGTCTTTGGGAGGAAGGTGGTGCTTAGGTAACCCGAGAGGAGGGCACATGTGTGACGTCTCAAAGCAAAATCACCTCCATTCCTTTCATCTACAGTCCCCTTTCCACGGGGACCCGGCACGCAGGACCAGCATACGGCTCAGGACCTCCGCAGGCTTAGGCGCTCAGCTGCAGCGCCCCAGCAGGGTTCCAAGGCCGCAAAGCCTGCAACTGAGTCGAGCCCCCCTCAATTGGCCACAAGGGCCAGAAGAGAATTGCTGTCCTTTCTTTTCCAGTCTCGGGGTGTTGACACCCTAGCTGGCGGAAGAGGCAGGGGCGGATGCAGAGGGGCCCAGGCAGGGCAAGTGTGGGGGGCAAGAGGAGGGAAGCAGAGTCAGAGGCTGGGGACCCGGGCTTGTACCTCAAGGACATAGGACCAGGTGGGCTTCTGTCTTCCGGGAAGGACCAGATGTGGTCAGGGAATGACAGGAGAGCAGAGGAGGACCCCTCCCTCCCTTCCACCCCTATTATTTCCCTGGCATTGTGCTGTCCTGGGGATAGACAGATGCTTAGGCATCATGGTCTTTGCCTTTGAAATGTTTATACATATCTAAAGAGGAAGACAGAACAGTAGAAAGATCATTTATGAAGACAAGATGATAGAAATGGCCACATAGTTCTCTGCAAGGGCAGAGCACAGAGCAAAGAACTCGGGGTGGGGGGCAGGGAAAGGTTCACTGTTGGGGGTGTGACTTCAGGCTGGGCTGACGTCGATCTTGCCAGGCAAAGAAGAAGGTCTTCTGGGTAGAACAAATAGCAGGTGCAAAGGCACAAAGTAGCAGCCTGGGGAATGTGGAGCTCACATGGCCAGGAGGGGGCTGTGTGCATGTGTGCGTGCGCGTGTGTGTGCGTGTGCACGCGTGTGCAGGGCCACTGGAGCACACACAGAAGAAAAGGCTGCAGCCCTGGCGGGCTGGAGCTCATGGAAGTCCACGTGAAGGAGTTGGGATTTTTACCTCGGCATGATTGAGAGCCACTGAATGATTTTAAACCCTTAACAACGTGGCCAGACCCTCATTTAAAAACTCACTGCAGAGCAGAAGACAAAGTGGGGCAGACAGAATCGAGGATGAATGGCTAGTCAGGAGGCCCAGGACCACAGCTGGTAGGAGGGAGAGGGCTCACATAGAGATTCCCGACACCACACGAGCAGTCTTCAGTACTGGATGTGGCGGTGGGTGGAGGGGAGAGAGCCCTGTCCCTGCAGCAGGTCCCCGAGATGGGTGACAGTCACGCAGGCTGGAATTCCACCGTCCCATTCCCATGTTCTTTCTGCCTGCTTCTATCCTCAGACTTGATATTTACCATATGGTTTTACCCTGAGCATAGCTGGAGCTTTCTGAAAGGAAAATCTCCTTGCTGTTTATTGTAGCCATGAGAAATAAATCACGGGGGCTCCTGGCAGGCCCGCGGCATCTGTATTTCATCCGCTCAGCCTAAGTGCTGGGAGCACGCCGCCACTCACAGGTGCGGGCCGGGCGTCGGCGCGGAGGTTTAATCATTCTCACCTGGGAACCCCAAGGCTTGCTTACCTAGCTGGCAAACAGTACCAGGTTTCTTCCATTCAAGGAGGTTTATTAGTGTTTAAAAATTACGAAATAAAAAATGTTGGATTGTAAACATAGAAATAAATCTCTATCTATCTATCTATCTATCATCTATCTATCTATCTATCTATCTATCTATCTATCTATCTATCTATCTATTTTTTTTTCTCAGTAGTTCAGCACCTTTGATTCTTTTTTAAATCCTCACCCAAGGATATTTTTCCATTTATCTTTAGATAGAGTAGGAGGGAGAGAGAGACATTGATGTGAGAGAGAGACACACATCGACTGGTTGCCTCCCGTAGGACCCCGACCAGGGCTGGGGACTGAACTACAACTGAGGTGCATGCCCTTGACCAGAATCGAACCCATGACTCATTGGTCTGTGGGCCAACACTCTAACCACTGAGCCAAGCTGGCCAGGGCCTGTTTCTTTGTGAGGAACCGAGGGCAGACCCTGGGCACCCTGTGCCGTCCGGAAGACCTCTTGTGCCAGTTGCCCATCTCCCGGTCCTGCAGGGCTGTCTCAGGCCCGGTTCTCCTGGTGGAATCAGGCCTCAAGGGAATGGCCAACACAGGCTGGGTGTCCAGGCACGGTGGTGAGCCAGGGAAGAAGCCCGGTGTCCCTTCCTCTGCTTTGTGAGGGGACGATCAGAAGGAGGACTGGGCCGAGGTGGTCTCCAAGGCACAGGGAAGGGGAGCTGTCAAGGCAGGGCCAGTTTCTCCACCCATGATGATGGATTTGAGATTTAAAGGCCACCTAAAGTTTCCCAAATAAAGTATATTGGACGGAATACACTGAAATTCCTGTCGGAAAACTACAATGATAAGCATATAAAACAATATGTGATGAATTGGTAACATTTTTTTGTAAAGATCCTGTCTTTGGTGATGATGGGAACTGGGAACTACTAGAAGTTTAAATTAGTATAACCCCCTGGAGGAAGCTTTGACCAGACGATTCTAAGGGTCTCCAAATGGCAGAAACGGAGCACCCTACCAGCGGCTCGTTGGACGGGAACAAGGGCTAACGAGAGTCGACACCAGCATGACACGTCTCTCAGATCTGAGATGCAAAGCAGAGATCGCGGAGACCACGGAGCCACGCGGAGACCACGGAGCCACGCAGAGACCACGGAGCCACGCGGAGACCATGGAGCCACGCAGAGACCACGGAGTCACGCGGAGACCACGGAGCCACGCAGAGACCACGGAGCCACGCGGAGACCACGGAGACCACGGAGCCACGCGGAGACCGCACATAACCACAGCCCCCTGACTGTGCCAGGCAGCATGTGAGAGCAGACCACGAGGGCGCAGGCAGCACGGGCTGGGTAAGGAAGATCTACGCACCACGGAGAGTCCTGGTTTGATTAGAAATTTAACACCTATCTATACAACTTTGACAAGCGAGTTCTGTGTTGTTTTAACATTCCTCTTTCAACCAGAAATCTCTCAGTCTAAGTTTAAATTCGCAAACGATCGTTTCCAAACACTCTCTCAAGAGTAGCGACGAAACCCTTGCACGTTATTAAGCATCCTAGAAATTGATCTACTCACTGAACTTAACACCAGGTCACCCTCTTATCCTGTTTCCAGTTTCGATGTTTTTCTTAAATGAGACGCATTACCCTCAGAGATCTTGCTGGAAGATTCTGACATGCAGTAAGTAAATTAAAAAAATGCACTGTGTTCCTTTGCTGCCCTGGCCCCTATCATACCATCCCAGGCTTTTGTCCCTGACCCTGCACCATGTCCGCAGGGAGAGATCGTTCCAGCCCAGCAGCCTGGAATCCACTTACCACCCCCTGAATGGAAGACGAGCCAGTTCCCTCGTCTTCTTCCCCGTCCGGCTCCTGGTCTTCGTTGTCAGTCCAAGAGGACACGTCCTCCACCGAGCTGGTCAGATCAGGCAAACTCTTAGATGTTAACCGCAGGAGGTCCTCTGCAGAGGTTTCCTACGGGAACACAAAGACCACAGTTTAGCCCACGGCACCAGCAGCTCTGGGTCAAGATCAAAGAAAGGCCAGCAGGGTCCGCAGAGGGCGGTCATGTGCTCCTGACCCACAGGCTCTGTGGAACGCGGTCCACACTTCCAGTTGCAAGGTTACCTCAGATGCCCAGAGTTGCGGACCCAATGTCAACCCAAACCAATATTTTTTCCTGAATAATCTGCATTTCTTACATGAATGTTTCTATGGGCAATCCAAGCTCCCTGAACTTGTGATCCTGGGATGCTCTTCCCTGTCTTGCTTTCAGGATAGTTTAAACCCCCTCATAGAGAAGCCAACATCTTAGAGAGCAGGCCTCTGCCCAGCTCTCCAAACTCCTCTCCCTCCATTCTCCTCTCCAACCCAGACTTCTACTGAAGTCACACTGACTTCCAAATGCCCCAGGCTGTCCTGTTACTGCCTTTTCCGCCAGCAGTCCCCTCTGCCTAGACCCCCCTTCCTCCCATGGCCAAGGCCTACTTGGGCCAAGCATGAGCATCCTCTCCTACAGGCCCCTGGGTCACATCGAGAGGCCTGGATCCCATTCACCCTCCTTTCTCCTCTAACATCCTTGACTGTTTCTCTGGTTGCCTTGCAGTGTATGACTTGTCTATCTCCCCGGCTTGTCCGACTGTTCCCAAACTGGACACCATTTCCACTCATCACTGTGGCCCACGGTCCAGCTCAAATATCCCCCGTACGCTCCTGGCTTCATGGTTCACCTCACTGGCGTATGTTCACGAAAGAGATTAGACTGTTCACTAGATCGTATGCCAACGTGGACACAGAGGATGTCTTGGCAATAAAAGCAGCCCTTGAACAACTTTTCAAGGTCAACAAAAATACATGGAACTCTACAGACTCCATTAGGGTCACACTCTAAGGGGCTTGCCCGCCCACCGTTATCCTGCTTTGGTTCTCAGTTCTACACTCCCTCCGAAGCTTCCAGACTCTGCGGGCTTTGCGGGTCTCTGGTTTTTAGAGAGCTCTTATCATTACTTTCCAAGAAGGAAGAAGGACAGGTAAATTTTTTTAACTCTCCCTACCCCCAAATCACACATTTCATAAAACCCTGGCTTAAACGTTCCCTACACATGGATCTGGAGTCGGTAGGTGAACCCCTGGATGTCCTCCGTCGGCACCGGGAGCCCCCCCTTTCCTTCCTTCCTTTCCCGGCAGCAGCTCGCGGTCCAGGTGTAGCGAGCAGAGCCCAGTTCCCAAGCAGGAGCCTTATGTGATTCAGGTGATGTTTCCTCTGTGACAGGGCCTTTTACACCAGAGCTTTTTCTTCTTGTATGTGTTTATGCATTGAAGAGGAATGTACCTATTTAAGAACTTTTTTTATATATATAAAGGGGGCTTCATCAACACTGCCCTTCCTGTGCTCAGATAAGGCCTGAGTGGGTGTGATATACAGGCGAGACCACCGAGGCCACGTGGCCATCCCAACTGCAAAAGAGGAGCACAGCTGAGCAGAGAGCTGTCCTGGGAAATGCCACAGGCCACGAGGTCAGGGGCCAGGGCTGCAGGGCTGAACAGAGGTCAGGGGAGAGAGATGTGTCCTTGCCCCCCGCCCCCCACCAGCCTTTTTTACAAGACAGGAAAACACACGGACGTTTTGATGACCATATTCCTCGGGGTTCGACAGAAAGATGCAGGTTCCACCGTTAAGGACCTGAGCTCAGTCACTGATCAGTAATCGTACACACGGGGCTGTTCACCCTTACCTACGCAGTACACACGGGGCTGTTCACCCTTACCTACGCAGTACACACGGGGCTGTTCACCCTTACCTACGCAGTACACACGGGGCTGTTCACCCTTACCTACGCAGTACACACGGGGCTGTTCACCCTTACCTAGGCAGTACACACGGGGCTGTTAACCCTTACCTAGGCAGTACACACGGGGCTGTTAACCCTTACCTAGGCAGTACACACGGGGCTGTTCACCCTTGCCTACGCAGTACACACGGGGCTGTTCACCCTCGCCTACGCAGTACACACGGGGCTGTTCACCCTTGCCTACGCAGTACACACGGGGCTGTTCACCCTTGCCTACGCAGTACACACGGGGCTGTTCACCCTTACCTACGCAGTACACACGGGGCTGTTCACCCTTGCCTACGCAGTACACACGGGGCTGTTCACCCTTGCCTACGCAGTACACACGGGGCTGTTCACCCTTGCCTACGCAGTACACACGGGGCTGTTCACCCTTACCTACGCAGTACACACGGGGCTGTTCACCCTTGCCTACGCAGTACACACGGGGCTGTTCACCCTTGCCTACGCAGTACACACGGGGCTGTTAACCCTTACCTAGGCAGTACACACGGGGCTGTTAACCCTTACCTACGCAGTACACACGGGGCTGTTCACCCTTGCCTACGCAGTACACACGGGGCTGTTCACCCTTGCCTACGCAGTACACACGGGGCTGTTAACCCTTACCTAGGCAGTACACACGGGGCTGTTAACCCTTACCTAGGCAGTACACACGGGACTGTTAACCCTTGCCTACGCAGTACACACGGGGCTGTTAACCCTTACCTAGGCAGTACACACAGGGCTGTTCACCCTTACCTAGGCAGTACACACGGGGCTGTTAACCCTTACCTTGGCAGTACACACGGGGCTGTTAACCCTCACCTATGCAGTACACACGGGGCTGTTCACCCTTGCCTACGCAGTACACACGCGGCTGTTAACCTTTACCTACACAGTAAACACAGGACTGTTAACCCTTAACCACGCAAAGGGGAAAGAGCTATCACACGCAAAGTGAGTTTAGCTTTCCTCTGTGATGGCAACTCTGCTAGACCATTAACAGAGTTAAAAAAAAAAAGGTGACGGTCCCAGCTGGTGAACAAATTGCACAATAGCCACAGGACAGGACACTTCACGGTCATTAGCCTTGGGATGTAGAGGACAGTGCGGGGAACACAGTCCATCCCACCACAATCGCCACGTGTGCAGGGGGTGCCGGAAGCATCGGGGGGTCACTTTGTAAAGCACAGGGTGGTCTAACCACTAGGCTGTACACCTGAAACTAATACAGAATCATGCTGAATGTAAACTGTAATTGAAGAGTAAAATAAAAAAAAAAAAATAGTGCTGTAGCAACGTACCTCCTGATGTGGAAAGATTCTTATATATCGTATGCTATTTAGTGGGAAAGTAGGTAAAAAAGAACACGCAGTAACTGTATGATTAATGAACGTGATGATACATGATTATCATAAAGGCAAGTGTTTCTCCGAGTGCTGGTTATAAACAGCTACACTGTTCAGAGCCATTTACATCTCACTCACTCTTCCAACATCCCACGATTCCCAATGTACAGACGAGAACACTGAGCTTTAGAGAGATGCAGTCATTTGCCAGAGACCTCAGCTTGTCAAGGGCTGTGAGGTGCTTAAGTCCAGGGAGGGCTGCCCCAGGCGCATGCTGTCTCCCTGGGCTGGAACCCATTAATGAAAGCGTGTGTGTGCCGACTGCACACATGCATGTGCGTTCCAGTCTGGAAGGACACACCAGTTAGTAGTGCTAATGGCGGTATTACCAAAATGTTATCTTCTGGTTTTTTTTCTTTCTGGGGTTTCTACATTAGATGCAGTGAGTACACATTACTTGTTAATCAAAACTAAGAGTGAAAAAAAAAGGCATGAGAAAAATCTGTACTGCCATGTATGGACTTTTTAGGAATATCAAAGCGAACTTGGATATTTTAATTTCATTCATTCAACAAAACTTTCTAAGCCACATAAACAAACAACATATTTGTGTGGAAGCATGAGACACCCTCTCCAGAAGAAAGTGACTGTTATATTTCTAACACAATGCCTTAAGCCCGGCCGGTGTGGCTCAGTGGTTGAGTCTCGACCCATGCACCAAGAGGTTGTTGGTTCGATTCCTGGTCAGGGCACATGCCGAGACTGTGGGCCAAGTCCCAGTGGGGGGACATGCAGGAGGAAGTGAATCAATGTTCTCTCTCATCGATGTTTCTATGCCTCTCTCCCTCCCCCTCCCTCTCTCTCTAAAATCAATAAAGAAAAAAAAAACCTTAAAAAACAACAATGCCTTAAAGTTTGTGACAAGGTGACTATTATCTATAATAATGATTTACATTTTTATTATTCCTTATATTCAGCAAGTCAAAGCTCTATTTTCCCTCCCTCTCTTCAGAAACATGAAAACAAAGCCTGTGGGTTACTTGCTCTTAATGGATAAAGAAGAGGAACGGATGCCATGAGGTGCCTACAAACTGGCTTCTTTTTCCTCCTACAGAGATGAAACCTCGGATGGTGCTGATTAGCAACAAACAGAAGGCAACAGTGTATCACCTGCTTGTAAAGACAGCGTGTGGGAAGAGTGAAAGGTGTCACTCCTTTGGGTCAGCTTATGGCCATAGGTCAGTACTGACAGTCAAGAGCCCAAGGACCAAGAACTAAAATGGACACTCCAGTCCTTGGCTCCAGACTGCAGCTCAGCCCTACAAAGACCCCAGCAAGTATCCCCTAAAGTCAAAGCTGCTGGCAGGAACACATGACCTTTCTCACACCATTAGCTCTAGTGTTTGCTACATCTTACTTGCCTGAAGGGCAGCTTAAGTTAGGGCATGAACTTGGAAGTCTGAGACCCAGGATGAAACCTACTCTGGGCAAATTAATCAATCACTCAGATCTTAATTTCATCCTTTGAATAAAACGAACTAATACCTGTTTCATGGGAATTATCTTAAGGATTAAATGACATGATAGGTAAGAAGCAATTGGCACCCAGTGGGCACCCAATACCTTTAGCGTCCTTTCTTCCATTAAGTCAGTGAGCAAAACTGCAGGTCAGGCATCAAAGCCTGTTTCAGAATCCCACGTGTGCCCCTTAATTATTAGTTTTACGCATGAGTGGCCCGTCTTTGTTTTTACTTTATGTTTTCTGTGTGTTCAAGGTGTTTGTAGATAATGGCTTAACACAGACTTCCTCTTCCCATTTCCCAAACCTGCAGGAGAAAGAAGTCATCACAGAACGTACGGTTTGGTGGCCAGGGTATAATGTCTGTGTAGAAAACAGACTGTGGGGAGGTGGGTGGTACAAACATGACACTGTGTGTGTGTGTGTGTGTGTGTGTGTGTGTGTGTGGAGAGGGAGAGAGAGAGAGAGAGGGAGAGAGAGAGGGAGAGAGGGAGAGAGAGAGGGAGAGAGATCCAATGGGCTTCGCAAACTCAGGCCAGAGCACAGCGCTCACACCTTCTTCCCTGAGCGGCAACTGGATGAAGTAGGGTGAAGCCTGGGGCCACTCCCCACTACTCCCCAGGCACAGGGGCTGGGGGAGACAGCACAGCAGACCCAGGACAGCTCAGCTCCTCCCCAGCCCCTCACACAGCGGGGAGGAAGCAGACACGGGGCCCAGGGCAATCCCAGCGCTGGGGACCCAGCTGGGCCTCAGGAAGACAGGCGGCCACCGGCTGTGCACTGAGAACCCGACCAGCATCAAGGCCACGGCAGAGGGGAGCTGCGGGGGGAGCTGCGCCTCACTGTGTAGTTTGAAGGACTGAGGAGGAAGAAAGGGAGGGGACTGGACAAACAGGCTTCACAAGATCCCGCCAGCACCAGCCGTGAGTCACACCGCTCCCCTGGACCGGGCAGATGGTGCCGCCTCCGCCCTGCACCTCCCCGCGCTGCCGGGACCTTCAGTCTCCCCTGGGCTCCTCCCTGCGCCAGCTGCTCCCTCCACCTCGTCCTCCCCCCGTTCTGACTTTCTCCTTAGTCTTACTATTGCTTTTCCATCTCCTACATATACCGTATAAAGACCCTTAAAAGAAAGCGACATAACTAACCGCACGTCTGCGAAGGACCCTGTGGGCTTGCACAGGGTCACGGCTCTTTAAATGGCCCAAGGGAGAGGTGCACGGGGGGAGGGGGCCCCAAGTTCACCACCACCATTAGAAACATTTAGAAACCACCCACAGAAAACAACCTACCTTGCTGGCCACGACCAGCTGAACCATTCCCGTGGCTGAGCGAAGGATGGCCACAGCTTCCTCGTGGGACAGGCCGACCAGTAAGTGACCATTGATTACCAGCAGCTCATCTCCTAAGGACAGTCTGCCATCCCTGAGGAAACGGAGACGGGAAAAACTCCCTTGTCAAGACATTCTGGGCCCGAGAGGGACACTGCTGGAGCCGGAGGGTCGTGACAGGGAACCGTTCAGACCGGCCGAAGAGGGACGGTCGGAATAGTTGGGAAGGGAGTGCTTTGTCCTTTGGCCTGGCTCGGTCAGGTTCCCTCTCAGAGGAGTGACACACTTTATCATTTTAGGTGGTCATCTGGTATCAGGCACGTTCTTAAGTTACCGCCACATAACCTGGCGTTAATGTCAATGAAATGTCCCGTCCAGGTGGAGACGATGATAGAGGAACCCGGACCTCAAAGTTATAGGATAGTTGTCATTCTTTTCTCAAGCCGCTGTGGTCCTTGCCTCGTGACTCAGCCATCAGCGCTTCACTGAGCTGAGCCCAGAGAGCAAACACCCGAAGCTCACCAGGAACCCTTCCCTGCTTCATGCCCTTTCTTCCAGGTGACGTGACCCCGGCCAGATTTCCTCTGGGGCACCTGTGACACCATAGTGCATGTGTCTGCCCCCCCCGCCCCGAGTTATAGGACCTTGAGGATACAGGCTCTCAGCTCCTTTTCATCCTGCGTCCCTATAGCCAAGCTTCATCAGCAGAAGGATGAACACAAAAATGAACAGCCCGGCCGGTGTGGCTCAGTGGTTGAGCGTCAACCCATGCACCAAGAGGTCGCCGGTTCAATTCCCGGTCAGGGCACATGCCCAGGTTGTGGGCCCGATCCCCAGTGTGGGGCATGCAGGAGGCGGCCGATCAATGTTTTCTCTCACTGATGTTTCTATCTCTCTCTCCCATTCTCTCTAAAATCAATAAAGAAAAAAATTGTATATATAAAAAAAGAGCTAGAAAGCATTAAAAAAAAATGAACAAAGAAACGAATTTGTTGCTGTTGCAGGTATCAGACCTGGTCTACAAACAGAGGTGCACAAACACATTCTGCTTCTTCATTTCTTTTCAATTAAATTACAGCTGACTTGGAGCTTCCTTCCCAGGGCTGGGAGGGGACCCGTGGTCTCGGGAACTGGCTCTCCCAGGGTGGATGGAGGGTCTGGGCAGGCACACTCTACCGGAGTGTCGGGCAAACCCTTCGGTCATGGTACATCTACAGTCTTGTGGGTTCCAGCTGAGCCCCCAAGAGTCTGGTCTCCCATGATCCCAAAGGAGCCAGAAGATTTTCATCTCCACTGCTAAACATGGGGCAGGAGACCTGGTGAGGCTGAGGAACCCTACGCCTCGGGCCCCACCACCCCTCTGCAGGTTTGCATCAGTACCCAGGGTGCAGCCCGGGACGTGCACACATCTCCCACAGTCCCACCCAACTCCGTTTCTCCCCCCTCTGTGGGACAGGAGACCTGGTGAGGCTGAGAAACCCTACGCCTCGGGCCCCACCATCCCTCTGCAGGTTTGCATCAGTACCCAGGGTGCAGCCCGGGACGTGCACACATCTCCTCCACAGTCCCACCCAACTCCGTTTCTCCCCCCTCTGTGGACCTTTGCCCCTTGCTTCTTTCAACAAATCACCAACTTCTCCCCCCCCCCCCCGCCAGCTTCTCGCCCCCCTCTCCATCCTTAGGGCGTGCCTCTTACTCTTCTCTAGAATCCAGGCTCTAACCGAGGACAAGGGGCCCCGGGGCTTCGGACTGCTTCTGCCTCTGTTCTGCGAACACCCCTAAGGCAGAGACATGCGAAGGACCCCACTACTTGCTCGGAATGGAGAGGGGGAGGGGGGACAGAGCGAGCACACCACCAACCACAGAGAATGGACCGGGCCCCCAGGGAGGTGTGCGGTGGGCCGCTCCGGACAGGGATTCGGGGATAAAGGAGAATGCAAGGGTCTGGCCAGCGCCCCTGGGTTCACAGCACCATCCAGGTCATCCCTGTCCCATCCCTTGTTTCCCTCTAATTCCACCTTGCTCTTCTGTTATTGACTAGAATGCCCACATGTGAACGCTACAGCCCAGAGGTGGAGAAAGACACCGCCGACTTCCCGGTTAAGGGGGAGAAGAAATGCGAGACCCACTATAAGCAGCTCAGAGAACAGACCAGAACAGATCTACGTAAGCTTATCTCTGGGCACAGGAATTTCTTAATTGCCAACTTTCCAAGGACTGACTAGAACCTAAAACCCGGATTAGAGGGGACCAGCCCCCTGTGGGAGTTCCCTACAGCACACATCATCTGGGAAGTTTAGTGACACTCCCCCGGATACAAACCCCCTGAGGCCTTCGGTCTTCAATAATGCCTGCCGCTGGTAAGCGTGGTCAGCTTATTTCCACTTTGGTTATGAGCCTCCTACTTTCTGGTGAGAGGACCGAAACGCTTTGTTGTTTGTGCGCTGGTTCTCTCCCCAGTTTTCCACTCTTCAGACTAAATAACCTCCAGCTCCTTCAATGCCGCCTCAGGATGTACTTTGGAGTCCCCTCTGGACCCTGGGCAGGCCAGCATTGCTCCGGTTTGCCCTCACTCTCTCAGAATAGGGGCCCCCGGCCTGAACATGATCAATTCCAGGCTGCATTCACCTTCCTCAACGGCACACGTGTGGGCACGAACATCGGCACCTTCCCCGCCGGGCCCGCAAACAGGAGGTGCCCCATGGTACCGCAGGCCCTCAAGTAACACTTTGCTCAACACCGTTCATTGTAATGTTCACAAGAGGCCATAGGAACGGAGCTCTTGTAACATCAGTTAGCCGATGGAAGAGCTGCTTTCGTTACACGTGGTCCCGCAGCACCTGTCAGTGCTCAGTGGGGACTTCCTGTGCTCGGAAGCAATCAGCTAGCACGGCGAGGGCCTGCCTCGTGTTTGGGGACGGCTACCTCCCTCTAACTCCAAACAGACTTCTTTTTCATACAAGCTCTGCCTAAGCACTGTCTCTCCTCTTATTTCAGATCATTGTTCAGGTGAGAAGAGGAGTTTTGAGGTACAAATTGTTTTCAGGTCACAAGGAGAAAGGTTCCCATGTACTTCCCCCCTCCACATCCGCAGGACAGAGATGCCTGTAGGTGGGTGTGTGCAGCATCCTGACCCCACACATGACTGTGGTTGTACTTAAAAGCAATCACTTTCTCAAGTCATTAGCCACAGTCTTCTGGGAATCAGGAGGTCAGGTGTGGTATTCCGTTGCACGGTACAATCTGGATAAGTCACCGTGTATCACTGGCATCCCAAAGGATAAGTGACCTCAGCTTGAGATTCAAAGTGGACTAGAAAAACCCCACTTCTCCTTGACGGTCTGGCGGGGCCTGCAGTATCTCCGGCAATTAGCCACTTCCTGTGCCCAGAGGTAGGTTTAATTAGAAGCACACAGGCCCGGTGTCCCACTGTGCTCCAGCATAATCCCGGTGAACTGTCATTACCAGTGTTTGACCGACACTGAGTCCTAGCGCCCAGGGGCAGGGAAGGGAGAGGATAAGGAGAAAGATAAAGGGAGAGAGTTAACTAGTCACCTGTGAGCGGCACCTCCTTCCTTCACTTGAGTGACAACGATAGCGTGAGGTGAGCGCTTTGATCCTCGGCCTCCACTAACCTGAATTCCCAGCCCATCGGATTCTTTAAGCAGCTCCAGCTTCCATATCCGGCCAACTTCCTCCTTGGAAGAAAAAGCGAGCACACTGTGAAGCATACAGACAGACGGCTCGGCCCGGCCACAGGACGGCGGAGCTGTGGGTCGGGCCAAATACTCATCACTTGTCAACAGGCATCACAGGTGACCGCCGAAGAAAACTCCCAAGGGGGGACCCAAGCCAGCGGGCAGTGCTGCCCCACAGAACGTCTCCGACGATGGGGACGTCCCACGTGCCCACCACCCGACACGCGTCACAGCCGCAGGTGGCTGCTCAGTGCCTGAAATGTGCGTGGCGATAGACACATCGAATTTTCAACTTCATTTCACTGTAATCAGATCGCCCCCCAAGGCCAGCGGATTTGATATTGGACAGCAAGAGTGATTCTCGGATTCCCTGAGCAGGGTCCTGTCCAGTGAAGCTTCTCATGCCTGAAACCCGGACACCACTGTGCACACAGCTCCGAATTAATTCGGGAAACGGAAGGCAGACACGGCAGGTCTCGGTGCCAGGCTTCAGCTAGTTGAAGCCCAGCTCTGCTGCCTAGTACTTCTGAAAGTTACCTAATGCCTAAAATAACGCTGAAAAACCTTGGTTTCTTTGCCTCTAAAGTGGGGATAATTATTAGTACTTCAGGTTTGTTGTTAGGGTTAAATGAGATATTTATGGAAACAGGTAGCAATAATTCCAACATCTAGTTCCCCATTCTAGGTACATAATAATTATTGACAGGTAACCATATATTACTTATATTATGTATAATATGCACTATGTTAAAAACACCATATTGAATTGAATCTCAAACTTCCTTAAAACATATAAATGAGATCTCTGATAGGAGAAACCAAAACAATAAATTAGTTGATGAATTTGTTATCGAATTCTAAGGACAGTAGTCTGTACATGCATTCAAAACATTCAAAAAATGCTTCAATTCATAGAACTGTAACCTTTGTAAAAACCAACACATGTCTCTAAGTCCTGCGCCTGCTGGTGGCTTTCCTGGTTCAGTTCATTCCCCAATGACTCCCCATTTCACTCCAAGGACACAAACACCCCACAAAATGCTTGAGTTCCCTCAGTTAGTTAGCTATTGCAAAACCTCCCCAACTGGTTATTCCAGGTCTTATTTGGGCTCGCCCCACAGTTCTTGGTGGTTCCATACACACGGTATGGGCCACAATGCATCCTTCGACATTTAAAACAAATGCTTTCAGCTTCCTTCATCCATCGTGAAGGTCCAATGGAACAGTTAAGGTCCAAAATGGACAGAGCCATCATCCCCCTAGAAACAGGCAACCTGCCCATTCAAGCCATTTGCAAAAGAGAAGGAATGTGATGCATTTAGAAAATCTGGAATACACGCTGTCAGAAACTAAAATGAAACTTTATGCAATAGCGAAAAAACCAGATGTCGAATGGTCAGCGATGTGCAGCAACAGGAACGTCTGGGGAAATCAGTACCAGACAGAGCCCTGCTGGAACTAACTGTTTCTAGTACAGGGCTGCTCGGCGGGGCCCCATTACCCCGGCGACACGCCGTGCGTGCCAACGGTCTCCGTCACCCACTCACCACAGACACACGAAGCCTGTCTGGCCAAATGTAACTTCAGAAGCCACTGGCTTACCACAGTAGTTCATGAACTTGTCAACAATCTCTCTATCATCCAATCGCCTCACTTTGCATTCCATGGGTTTTGGGTTGTTGCCTCTGACCTCTGGAACACCTTCCTCTCTTCCCCATTCAGAAGCAGCCTCCCTGGCCCTCAACATGTCACTGAGCTCCACTAATTCAAGAAGCCATCCTTGAGAATCAGGGCTACCACCAACACGGCAACTTTCCACACTTGCAGTCCGTGCGCCCAGGGGGCAGCCCGAGGGAACACTCAGGGATGTGCCGATTCCGCCCCCTGGCTCGGGGGCAGCCCACGGTGGCTGCCTCCCCGGCCTTCATGACGCAGTTGAGAAACGAGAGCAGACGGTGGCCTGGCATGCTTTTTCCTCGGACGATATGCCAATGGCTCCTGGAGTCTCAGCGATGTGGGCCATGCTCCCCCCTTCCCCCAGTAAGAAGAGCTGAGGAACTCCTTCCCAGGGGCCACGGGGACCATTATTAGAGTCTAGAAATAAGAACATCCATTTGGTTTGAGCCCAAATTAGTAAAAGCCTATCCATCCCCCTCTACTAGCTACACCACCATGTCCCCCGTGCAACCCTTATTGTTATTTTTACTTTTGTTAACCTCACCCAAGGATATTTTTTCTGTTGATTTTTAGAGAGAGTGGAAGGGAAGGAGGGAGAAGGAGAGAAACATCAACGTGAGAGAGACACGTCGATTGGTTGCCTCCTGCACGTGCCCTGATTGGGGCTGGGGATCGAACCTGCAACCCAGGTACGGGTCCTTGACCGGGAATCAAACCCCCAACCCTTTGGTGTGTGGGCTGATGCTTTAACCACGACCCACACTGGCCAGGACCCTGCCCTTCTTTTGTTAAAACAGAATATGATAAGTGTGGTTCATAGATGGTGTGACAATTCTAGATACGGCCCTTTCGATTTTTAAATGCTTTTAGAAATAGGATTTGTGACGAGAAATATGCAAAACTATGGTCATCAGGAAAGAATATGGTCTAATGTATACTCTGAGAGAAAGAGTTAAAGACAACTTTTGTTGGGAGAACCCCACCCCCACTCCGTGCCCCTGCCTGAAACACACACAATGAGTTAAACGCAAAGCAAAACAAAATGCGTATCTAACAGAAATGGATTCAAAGGGCAGAAATGACCAACCTGTAACACCCTCAGCTACACTAGTCAAGTAACAGATCATCTTTTTTCCCCCCCTTTTATCCAATAGCATGCTTTTTTTCATAACTGGAAGTCGGAACTATAGGGAGAAAGTCATGGGAAGCATTACAAGTTTCCTGGCCGTGGAGTTTCTCCGTCTTCCAATCAGAAGTTCAGAGGTTCACAGAGGAAGGTACAAACAGGAAGAGGCAGATGTTATCGGTCTCAATTGTACGACTGTCAGTATGATATTAAATTATCTGCCTTGAGCTGAAAGCAATGCTCAGTTAAAAATAAAATCAGTGTTTGAAGTTTATTTGGCTAAAGCTGGTACTGGCCAAAAACCAGCTGGCCAACTTAAATATGACGATATCAAGTATGTTTCCAACAGCCTCCTGACAATCCCACTTGGGCACCTAATACCCACTTCAGTATGGTCAAAACAAGACTGCCCCCCGCCCCCGTCCTGGCCTTTCCATCTCAGTGGGAAAAATACTAGCATCCACTCAACATAATAAAGAGGATATACAACCCCAAAGCCCATGAGTTATCTTTGATTCCTCCAGCCATTCCCTAACCCAAACCATGAGCAAGATCTGTAAGCTCTACTCGCACACCCATCCCCGTCTGCTCCTCAGCCCCGTCTGCATCCTGTCAGAGCCACCAGCTATCACGACAGCCTCCGACCTGGTCTTCCTTTTAAACTCTTCATCTCCTATGACCCGCTACTCTCCATTGCACATCTAGGGTGAACTCCCCCCGCAAAACCGAAAACACATCATGATGCACTCAGCTTAAACCCTGCATCATCCACACTAGACCCAGAACGAGGCTAGCTCTTGGTGACACATACACAGCCCTTTGTGGTCTGGCCTCACCCACTCTCACAGGTCACCTCTTGGTGCTCCGTCCACTCCCTGTGCCCCTGGAATCTGCTGCGCCTGCCTTAGGGCCGCTGCGTGCTGGCTCCGCCCTGGCAACATCCTGTCCTCCATGCTCCAGGGCTTCCCTTTCTCGACTCTTCAGCTTGAACACTGCCTCTGGAATGAGGTCTCTGCTGACATCCAGCATCAGTGAGCCTCCCACTCATGACACCGTCCAGCCATCTTTCACTCCACCTTGTCTTCTTTCATTGATAGAACCTGTCACCATCTAACATTCTGATTCGTTGATTTGCTTACTTATTGCTTTTGGCTCCTTCCACGGGATGAATGCTGTGGGATCCTTGTCTCTCACTGACCAGTGAGTGGGTTCTCTAGCAACTCGAACAGTGCCTGGCACATAACAATATGCATAAATGTCACAAAGTGAACAGTTATAAGACGCTTATCCACTAATCTCATGGTTCTTCAGAAGTTATTGAGACATTAAGAGGCTCCCTCAGATGGAGTCCTGCATGTTTGCCAACGCTCAGCGTGCGAACACTAATCCGGTGGTAGACACAATTGAGTTCTGAAACAGAGACCGTCTAGACAGCTGGCTCAGGCTTTGGTTCCCTTCACACGGGCTTAAAGGGCAATGAGACTTTGTCAGCCTGGGGAGAAGAAGCCAAACCACACAAAATTGGATACTACAGACCCTTGCTTCAAAGCTGCCAACGCGCTACCTTTCCTGTAAAGTGCCAATTACTGTGTGAGCACACATGCCATCTCTTCACAGAGGCAAATGGGGGTTCGTTTACCAAACGAGGGGGAGGGCACATTCCAGGGAGCTGTCTCAGCAGCATTTAAATGACCACATCTTCTTCTGGAACCAAAAATAAAAATGTACAACAGCATCTTTACCCCAAATGTGAGAAGACACATCACCCAACTAGAATTTCACTGCGGTAAATGCTCTGGCTCTAATTATGATCCTATTCTGAGACTGTTTGCTTAGCCCTTCTTATTTAGAACAGTCAGTAAGCTATGAAGAAATGTGTGATCATAATGGCAGAGTTGCAGCCCCTTAGTCATCAGATCGAAATGCTCACTTTATAGGTGAGGAGATGGGAGCTCGGACAGAACACGGCGGCCCCAAGGCCCCCGAGCTGGGATGGGAGACTAGCGCTGGAATTCAGGGTCCATCTCTCTGGTGCTCTTGGGTGCCTTTATTAATAAATAGTTACAGAGCACCTGTAGGTGCAAGGCACCGAGTTAGGACAGAGAGACACATAAGGTCTTTGCCCTTAAAGTCTATGGGGAACACACGGCCAATGGAATATGTAGGGTTCATGACTGATGAAGAAGGAGGTACTACA